CTGCTGAAAAGATTATTACTCTGAGCCCCTGAAGAAAAAGCTCAGACTCTTTTTTCCCCAGTTAACAGTAGAGTTCCTCTCTCTATAACGATTGCTGTCATGTTACAGACTGCAGCATGGAAAAGCAGAAAAAGAAAAGGCAATCTCATACTGAAAGCTCTTTACCTTCATGGATTTATACAATCTTTCAGCAAAATATGCAGGTTTATTCCGTGTGCACTTTACTGTAAAGAGGCAAGAACAAGAGAATTAAAGCCAATGGAAACTGCGGGAGAAGGTTTTACAAGCCTTCTCCCGGTGGAGGCGTCCATTCCGCAATGGGGCAGGCCAGGGCTGACCAACAGCAAGTACAATGCAGACAACCACAGCGACCTGCTGTGAACTGGTGTCCCCTCGCCCAGTGCACAGCAGTGTTTCGTTTAATGTTTGTTTAACGCTCCCTGACAGCAATTGTCAGTCATCAAAGCATCTCTTGGCAGAGTACACAATGCGATAAAGCATAGAGCTTTCTTATCTGACTACATTACATTTGCAAAGAGTAAAACCGTGTGGCTTGCAACGGGACGTACATCACATCTGCCTCCTGAAGCTACGGAAACAGCAGGCCAGGGCAAGATACAGCATCTCTATTTCATTACTTTGTGGACAAAGTTCAAAAGCAAGACACTCACCCACAGCTAATAAAGCATCTTCAAGGTCTCCTGACATCTCAGATTTAATGCTGTCTACTATGTCCTTATTAGCAATCCTTCTGTATTCATCAAAAACTAGGGAAAAGAACCAATGATAGAAACAGTGAGGGAGACGAAACACCAGTTTGCAACGGCGCTCACCAGCTGCTCATACTCTACATGAACATTGTACCACCGTTACTGCGTTGTAAGCTAAATTAGGGCTGTCCCACACAAATAATTCATTTTCATTATTAACCATCTTGCTAGGCAGTTAAGCGCTTAGCTTCTTTCCTCTCTGCCCCAACAGGAATCACGCTTTATCTCTGATTTAGAGACTGCAGCAGCAGCGAGTTGTACCGATGTTTTTCTCAAGTCTCCTTTTGGCTCAGAAGGGAATAAAACCATCTGAAAGAAGGGTATGCAACTGGATTCTACATATCTGCCTGTCTCAGGAAGGGTTTGCGATCATTACTGATCAAGCACAAAGCACCTATGAAAGTACTGTCCTCAAACAAGTAAGGAAAGAAGAGAATGCAGGACACCGGAGAGTCCTACCTCTTAGTAGGTGACTTCTGTTCCGTGTACAGAGGATGGACATAAATTGTGCCTCATCTGTTCCCCATTTCTTCTCCCCAGCTTCATACAGGCACTTGAAAACATTAACAGGCAAAGCAAGGCTAATTGAGAAGCTCAGCTGTACATGAGATTTTTACTTCCTTGATCCTGGAGCACTGCTGGCCTGTGGCTGGTCTAGATCACAGCTATTTCCAAACGGCAGAGTGTTCTTACAGGATGAAAGTTACCACGTACCTGAGCATCTTGCTGAGCAAGGGCACCATCCACATATGTTCCCTCATCTCTGTTGCCCTGCAGAGAGACAAGGATGGAACAGACTCAGCCCAAAGCAACCGGTGGAAGCCAGTCCTGCAAATTCCCCATTTCAAACAAGCTACTGGAGACTACTAATGAGGCCCACTTAGAAGAGTCTTTAACACGGAATAGTAGCTTACACTTATGTAAAAGAAAAAAAATACAACAAAAGTGACTCAAGCATGATTTGTGCCTCCTCCTGAAGTCAGCGGCAAACCACTTTAACCAGACCATTTTAAAAAAAAGCACATGGCATGAATGCACACACAGTCAGATTCCTCTCCTTGAATGAAATGCAGGCAAGGTGACGTGCAAGGTGAAAGCCAGCCTCAGAGACCTCATCACTGAAATGAGAGGCATGTCCAACAGCAACAGGAAGATCCACCCCCATTTCCCTTAGACTGGGCTTACCGTCGCAAGGGATACGAGGACTCTTCGGAACATGGAAGATGTATCGGAGACAATGTCCTCTTCGAGCGTACACCCATATTCTAACCAAAGCACACACACGTAGGACATCTGTTAGCAACAGCTCCAGCGCTCGGACACGGTTTGTCCACAACATGTGCTAGCCATAGCCAGGTGACTATACGAACGTGCTCAGCACTCTAAATATCATTATCGTAGCCCGGCCGTCATAACTAGCGCTACTGGTCCAAATTAAGAAGTACAGCCAGTATAAAACTAGTCGTAGATCCACACATGGGCACACATCCAACTGATCTACATAAGCTCCTCACCCCCGTTTTATTTAGACCAACCTAATTTCTGGGTGACGTTCTAATTCTTGAGGCTGCTAGCAGTTTTGCTGTTGACATCCATTTAACTCAGAGGTTCTCTCTAGGCAGACAGTAATGGTTGGATTGGCTGACTTGTCCCAGTTAAACCAAAGACTAACAGACCCTCTCATTCCTCTGTGTGCATGTACACACGCGAGTTACCTCTCGGGTGTAAGAATAAAACAGCTTGCAGCTTGCACTACATACGAAGTTTGTAGTTCTCATTAATGCGCCGGATCTCTCCATTTGTGCGAGAAGCCAGAATTTCAATCAGGCAACCCTCATCTGTTCCGGCACCCTACAGAATCACCAAGAAAAGAACCAAGATGACTACGTCAACTGTTTGCAATGTGTTATCGGCTTTTTTTTTTTTTAAATAATTAGGCCACATCATATTAACTTGACCAGAACTTTAGCAATGTAAAAAGGAAGACTTCCAAACCTTCACAGCCCTCCTCAGCTCGTGCACGTCATACATGGTGGTGGGAGTCATCATCCCAACGATCACCCTCTCAAAATTCCCGCTCAGCTCAGACTTCAAGTCATCAATCAAATCCTAGAAGGCCAATAGAGAATGAATGAGTTGGGAGAAGAAACAGAACAGCCCTTGTGAACAGAAAGAATCGACTCATTCACCACATTTCCATGTGTTCCAACTCTCCCCGGTGAAGAGTAGCTCTGAAGCCAACAAGATCGACATAACGTTTGCTGTACAGCCAGAAAAATACCGCGCTAACCTCACCGTTGTGGAGGCTGGAGCACCGTTCGCTTTTCACCCAAGTGCTATAATCTAAACAGCACCTGTATCTGCCAGTTAAAGCCACAGTCCCTTATCTCTGAAGACCACCTACCCACCCTGCCAATAGTAGTTTTATAGGTGATCAGAACTTGCTGACGTTGGGAAACGTTCAGTTTGGTCAAGGTCTCGATGATGGCATCTTCATCCGTGCCTGTGAGAAACAAACAAAAGCCAGTCAGACTGCTTGCAGGAGAACCAGACGCGGCCTTGTGTGGAGCGTGCCACTAGCCATCTTCTGTCCCTTCCACAACCTGGTTCTTGACAGGGCCGGGGACTAAATCAATATGCGAAAGTGCCTCAGCTTGGCAGGATGGGAGCACCATACTGCAGGAGAAACAAGGTAAGAGCCAAGACTTGGATTTCAGGTTAGGTTCAAAATCTCAGCATGACTAAGTCACTCAATTCTTTTCAGCGCTCTCACACCACATCAGAAAAATTGGTTCAGCACTTCAGAATACATACAGAGTCCCAGATTTCTAGGGTTAATACTTTAATATCTATGAGCAGCTTAGAGACAACACTGACAAAGACTACGTATAAACACACAGATAAACAGGCTGACTAAGAGCAACTGAACAGGGCGGGAGGATTTCACCCTCACTACACATCATGGTAACCAGTCCCATCTCTTTGGCTCTGACTTTACTTTCCTTCCCTTTACACTCCCTCCTTTGCTTCCATTTGGATGTAACCCTTAATTTCTGATCAGGCTGCCTCCTTGTGTTTTGCAACACAAAGGACGGCAGGATCCACACCAGAGGAGGTTGCATTTCTGGAGATGGAGGGCATGATCCCTGTTTCCACTTTGCAAAGAGTTTTTGAGCGGTGCAGTGGGGCAAATGCATAAGGCGAGGCTTCCCTCCCGACAAACCAGCAGAGTGGAAAGCCTCCCAATAGTCTGAAAAAATGAGAATCTAGCAGTGGAGGGAGAACAACTTACCCAATCCCTTCATCGCTTTCCTTAGTGCCTGTGCTTCTTGCTCAGCACTGAAACTTGAGACCCCCTTGATTGTTGCCTAAATTAACAGATGAGGAGTTACCAAACGCAGACTCAGTGATGCACACAGTTGAATAATAAAAAAGCACAGTAATAGCAAAAAAAGTCCACCCACCAAACTTGCGTGATTTTAGATGAAGTTTTCATTCTACCCTGAAGAGAAACAGTCTGTTCTAAGGGGACTTTCCTGTTACATGGGAAATAAGCCACAACAGCACAACTAAAAGGAGAAAAACCTCCTTATTGCTACCTGCGTAGCATCTGTTTTTCAATTAAAGGCTGACAACTTGACATCTCTGTTCAATCCAGCTGTTGGTTCTTCCCAGCTCCACGTAAATCATAAAAGAAGCTGATCCCCAAACCCTACCCCTGACTTATCTAGCGGCAGGCAAGGACCATTATTCTGTAAAAAAAAATTATGCGACATGAAATGCAATGTTTTGCTCAAAACAGTATTTCACAAACAGATTTCTCCTGTCCAGAGCCATTTCTGTTGGACTACACTGCCTTTTACAAATCAGTCTGTGTTCCCATGAGCAGCAACAGCAAAACAGTGATTAACATTAGCACAGGTTAAGCTTTCAACAACAAGCACAGGGATAACCGCTGTACAGATGAGGTTGCAGGCTGAACCCGCAAAGGATAATACACTCAGGGAGTTTACCAGGAGACATCCATGCCTCATGAACAAATATCTGACCAGATTTTACATTAACTCCCAAAGGAGAACAGCCCCGAAGTGTGCGTCATTCTCCCCTAGTATGAGGAAACAGAGGGAAGCGATAAACTCACCCCCCACAGCGGGAGAGATGGTGACAGTCTGTACCTGTATCGGAGCTAAGCTCCCCAGGTTTACCTGCTCAGTGCAAATGCTTGGCACAACACGGTACAGGAGGCAAGTACACTCACCATTGCTGCACTACTTGATCGATCTGTTATTGTCCAAGTCCCTAGACAGAGAACTGTAATAAAAAACAGGAGCGTTAGTTTTGTTAGTTTTCTAGCAAATAATTAATAGAACATACGTGTCCTCGCCAGTTAATGGGGCTGGTTAAGTAACTGCCACTGTAAAGCAGTGCCTCATTTCTGAGGCCCAATGGCAATGCTTCACCAACAGCCCTACTGAACACCCACAGCGACTGCAACTCAGAGTTGCCGCTCCTGCTTTGTACTGAACTAACAAAGGCTGGTTTGTAACAGGAGAGGCCCAGGGTGTTTGCCCCACAAAGGCTCCGTTTGAAAGAGGGATGTGGTGCACAAGCAGATGAGTAGCACTAGCATTTAAGAAACTTGTTTTGTATTATTAGCATCACAGCCTAGCTGAGGCTGCAAGGAGAAGCAAACAACAGCACCCTGGGAGCCTGAGGAAGGTAGACTTGATCGCCACTCATGGCTAACTCTGACCTGGCCAGGTAAAAAAGCCTGAGGGTCAGTCAGGGTAAGGGCATCTGCACAGCTCCAACAGCACTTACAGCTATTTTCTGGGAAGCAGGAACAACGCCAGGAACTAGACAAGCATGCAGAGGAGGACATCCTCACCCAGAGTCTGGAACAGTAGATTTTTATTTTCCCTCTTCCTCAAAAACTGCAGTATTCAGCAACTCCTCAGTTTGGTTCAATGTGTAATTCCTTGTAGGACTGCAGTTTAACTGACAAACCTCTCACAAAGGAAAAAATATACCTGCCATTTCCCAGGTGTATATTTTTTCTGCTCATAGGTTTTTTTAATGCATGGGGCCTACTCCTATAAAGCCCACCACCCCCAACTCTTTTCCCACATCCCTGGTCCCTAGAAGGTAAGACAAGACAGGTTAAGAGCCAAGTCTTAGGATCAAGTTTATTTCCTGCAACTGAAGTTAAACGCAACACAAGCGAACGTACTTGCATTATCAAGCACTTCAGTAGAAGATGTGATGCCAAGGGCTGGCAAATCTTCTCCCCCTAGTCTGCTCATGGCGCTTAACAGCTGCGCTCAAGGAGCCCAGCCAGTTGTGCAACAGCAGCAGTGGCTTTACTCATGCTTCACATGACTCTTGTGAATCTAGAATACCATTGCAGTGTGCTGTTCGGGCAAGTTAGCTCTCAGTATGACGTTGGCCATAGATCCATTCTGTACAGGCACTCCTGAGTACTCTCCACTTAATCTGTGCATTACACATGCAGTTAGGTAGCATATGGTAAAGTTAGTGTTGAGTTCATTTTCTTTTAGAGGATATAGATTTCAGGGGGCAAACTCTGACCTAGACCCTCAAAGGAAAAAAAAAAAAAAAAGGCTAGTCTTTAATCTAGCCTAATCTTTTACACAAGAGTTAACTTTATCATTCACTTTAGCCACACAGTAGGTAATGGCTTGGAATTTCACAGAAGTTTTTCTGATGCTGGTTCTACCATTCATTTTGTTTGTACACAAAAGTAGGGATATTAGAGAAGCTGGCTTGCAAGTAGATTAGAGGGCAAAGCAAAGACAAAAGGGGAGGGAGGGAGGCAGGAAAAAATTTTGAATGCAAATGAAGTGGCAGAAAAAAAGCATGAGGAAAGGATGTGCCTATAGGAGTAAGGGTAAATGCCACTGAATATGAAATTACAGATACATTACAACAGGAACGTACTGACTAGACTGTGTTTAGGATTCCAGTTTTTTCATCCAACTTAAAAATCATGCTAATATAGAGAGTAGAGCTCTGCAGAAGGCAGCAATGCTAACCCTGTCCCACAATCTGCAAATGCTTTTTTGATCCCAGTATATTGCCATGCATGTGCTCCCACTGAAAAAGTCAGCAGCGGTCCTAACAGTGAAGTTACAGGTCACAGTGCTTGGCACTTTGACGAGGTTCTCCAGCAATGGTCCCTGCCCCTTAACACTGTTGCCCCCTTTCCACGGGGGAAGGGGTCTCCGTCAACAGCTCAGGCTGGGGCATTACACCCTTAGATTAAAGGCTCTAACCACTCTGTTTGATAGTACAGAGAAAAACTTCACTCCGTGTACAAGAGCTCAGTCAGATTTGACAGTGCTCTGCTTTTTAAACAGAGCTCCCAGGCTACAGCTCAAACAGAAGAGAAAACAGCTTCAATACAGGAGCAGCACTTAACTACTCTATATTTTGAGGAATTAAAACACGCATGCACAAAGCTAGCTAGCATGTGCCGCAGTGCCCCGGCTCATCCCTGTCTTGGTGTTTTTATTTGCTTCAAACTATTACAAAGGCCTGGGCTTGCTGACACAGAAAACCCTGTGCCCTGGCTTAGAACAGGCTCAAAACATTGTGGCCAGGTGGCAGAAGGCAAGTGTACTAGGCATCTCCTCCCAATGGCCAGAATTTTTCTGTGGATTAACTCTTCCTGGCTGGCTTTATCAGATGAGCAGGTAGCCATCTGTCCCCAAAGGTGTCCTTTAAAAGTGAGCTTATTCTGGATCAGCTGTAAACTGTATCCTGTGTTTTGGCCATTTCAAATCTAGGCTTGCTTCAAATAAAGTTTCCCTGACCATGCTCAGAGCACACATAGCTCCCAGCAAGCAGCACTCCCGAATAGGATTTATATAGGTATTTTGCCCCAAGTTTCTGGGGTGTGTAGACGACGGTTGACAGTCCTACACCTAGGGTCTGAAATGGAAAACAGTGTTTTGCGACCCATCCTCTAGCAAGGCAGACACCAGACTTGTTTGACTAGTTCTTTCTTCAACGCACGTTTACTAGAATACAAACCCACACCCTGCGCCAGGTCAGCTTTTCCACGGCTCTGACACTGCCAGCTCTTTCCAGTGTGCTGTTTACAGCCTGCTCCCTCCTTAGCTAGCTGCGTTTCAGGGAGGCAGAGTGCCCTGCTGTAGGTCTCAGGCTCACAGTAGGCTGAGTGACACCAGAGTTTGTAGCTCAGCAAAGGATCTCCCTTCCGCATGGGAGCCCCAAGGCAGCTGAAATGTCCTAACACCTCCCACGTGATGACCTTGGTCTTACCACTGCCCTCAAAAGGAATAAAATATAATCCTGAGTTAGAGCTGGAGCCTTGTACGCCTCACTTCTCCCTGGGCACACACCCAGAGCCACTCTGAGAAAACACTGCCGTGCCCTCCCATTGCCAGCATCCATCCGGGAGGACACCAGCTTTGCCACAGGGCACAGCAGAAGCAGAAAGAAGAGGAAGGAAAACCCGCGTCTTCTGTGCCTGGGATAAGTCAGCCATGTTCCTCCTCCCTGCCACCGCCTGGCTCCCTGTCCTCCCTCACCCGAGGCCAGCACCCTTCAAGGCTGCCCAGCAGGCCCGGCCCTGCAGCCTGACGCTTTGGCACCGCCACCCAACAGGGCGTCCACCCAGGCAGAGGCTGTCCCGCTCCCGCACAGCCGCACTGCGAGCCGTGCTCTGAGCAGCCACGGTGGGCCGCCACACCAGCCTGTCCCCACGCCAAGAGGGACCCCCCCCCCAGTTAATTCAGCGCTCACCTGCTATCCCAAGTGGGTGCCTTGGCAGTGATGGGGAGAGCTCCGCTCAGCTCTCCTAGGCGAGAGTCCCCGCCCTGCAATGGGGTGGGACTCCCCTGCGCAAAGCAGCTTCTCTCACACAGCTGACAGGAAGGCAATCCAGCCCCGGTCCCCTCTGCCTTTCCGCAAACATTTGGTTGTAATCCAGAGCACTGAGCGATTTCCTCACGCAGCCTGCCGCAACATGCACATTTAAGGAATATGCATTGGGGTTCCACAGAGGCCCTTGAGAGTAAAGGTGGCCTGGCACACGACAGCTTCTTCTCTCCCCAGCATTGCCCGCAAAACACGCGGGCACAGAGGGTGTCTCCTGCTTCTGACTGTGCAGTACTGAGCACACGTGCACAGAGCGCGTAACGTCTCACTTTACACTGCCGTGTAGAAAGCACGTACCCAAGGGGGGGAGCAGTGGGACAGCTACATGAAGCACAAAGACAGGCTGCAACAGCCCAGAGCAAAAAGTCTAACCTCCCCCCCGCCACGTTGTCCGTGAGCACTTCTTACCTGTTATTACAGCTCTTGTTTGCTCCTGCAGCACCTCTCCAGGTTTTCAGTTTGAATTCCCTCTTCTCCGAGGACTTGATCACTGCTAAAAGAGCAACGATTTTTCTAAGTGATTTTTCTCATAAGTATTCTTTATTTTTGCCCTTTAATAAATAGCACCGCCCTGAAGTGAGGACACTCCAATCAAGGGGCTTCAGTTTTGCCCTCAGGTGAAGCTGTCGAGGTCAGCCACAGACAGGGTCACGAGACTGACAGAGGCAAATTAACCTTGCAATACAATAATGCACCTTGCCTTCACTTTGTTTATCCTCGAGGCTTTGGTTTCTCTGATGTCAAAAGTACAGTTGTTACTGCAGGTAAATCACCCCTCTCAGGTTCTTGCTTCCAGCTCATATAGCAGTTACACCCCATCCCTGTGCTTCTTCACACACACACTTTTGCTGAAAGAGACCTAAAATTAGCAGCTTGGAAGAATGCAGGCTGTGCTCCAGTGAGCATGTCTGTGCAGCTGGCTTATTATAGCTCCCACTGCAGCTCTGGCTCCCAAGAACAGCCCCACAGAGGCCTGACAGCATCTATTCCCTGCTGATGAGGGGGAACGTTGAGCAGAAGGTGACTGGAAAGCAAGGTTCAAGTCACGGCCCCTTTGCATCGCAGTCTTTTTCCTTGTGAAATCTGGTACTATATGCCTTGACTACAATTCAGTGTGAGTGGGAAAATAGGCATTATAGTTGGGGCTGTTCTGCCTTCCCTTCCATACCTACATGCTCAGCATCCAACCTAGAATCCGTTTCCTTAAACCCAGCATAAGGCCAACATTAGTCTGTTTTTACACAGCACAAGTGGAAGCAAACCTGAGCCCTATAACCCTGACTGGAACACATTTAAATTTTATTTAAAATTGTCTGCACAGATTCTAGACTGGAGCTGCTAAAGATCCACCAGAATTATGCTGCTTTACACCAGCTACGATTCTGGCCCAGTATAGAAGTATGTGCTCACCCTTGTGAGAACACTATCAGTTACCGACTAGTTTACGTCCCTGAGCTGCCAGAAGAGGGACAGTCACGGACAACCCCACAAGCTCTGTCACAGTGGGCATGACAAAGCGCATTGTTTTTTCTTCACTGAGACTTCCTGTTTGTCCTACCCACTGTTTCAAACCCCTATGTTATCATGTTGTCCAAATACCCACAGCTTATTTGGTTTCATACCTGCTCTGTATTCCCATGCAGTCCTGCTGTACTCCCACCTCTGCAAAAGGCATAATGAAAATTAAAGGTCACAGAAGGACAAGGCAGTAGGCATTAAAGCAAGTAAATAAATTGAGCTCAAGCAGCCAGCCTGTTAAGCACAGGAGGTATTTATTCTTGGTCCCGCAATGAGAACAGAACTGAACCACTCAGAAAATGGCACCATCTGTATTTTTGCCCTAAGGATCTGGCCTTTTAAATTCGCACTGCAAAGACTTGGGGAGCTTGATATGGAAGGAGAGATTTTCAGAGTGTCATTTGATGAGTGCATATCTGCCTCTACCTTCGGTGACACTGCCCTGTCTCATTCACTGAGGTCCAAATCCTGATACTAACAAAGTCATTAGCCAGACTCCCACAGATTTAAGTGGTTCCAGGATTCAGGTCTTTGGGGATTATGCAGGTGTTTTCAGAGAAGTTAATAAGGGAAGGCTCATTTTTATAGGTGCGCATTAGCAGTCTGGCATCGACAGCCCCTGAAAAATGGGGTTATTCAACTGTTGCACGAGTGCTGTCAGAGTTATGCTGCAACACTGTAGTTCCATTAAAGAACTGCCTCCATAGCAGCAGGTAGCCGAGGTTAGGGGGGAGGCCAAAACTCCGAGTTTGCTTTTCTAGAGCACAGATTTTCATGTGCTTGTAACAAGGTAAAGACATCTCATATCCTGCATATTAATACAGGATTAATCATAATGCTAAAAGCAGATGTTAGGCTCTTCACAGAGCTATAGGGGCACTTTTGATGCTTAGAGCAGGGATGTCTCCTTACCTCCAAATCAGCACCGTATAAGATGAGACCTCTGTTTCCACAAAGCAGAGGTAAACCTGGTGTAGAAGTGGGGAAGGTTTGGTAAAGACCCCAGGAACAGCCAGATATGGGGGTGAGGGTGGAAATCTGCTGAAGCTTTTGTTCTGTTTTCTATGGAAAGGCCTGTAAACACAGAGAGCAAGGAAGGTCACAAACTCACTCCCAGAATTTGGTAAGCAAAGTTTTTTGGCTGCATCGCTGTATTTCAGTATTCCCACCCGCCAATAAATGAACGCGTTCTAGTTCTTTATGCCTTACTGTAACCATTAGAAACATTGCTTTTACCCAGTCAGCACTACCAAGGGAACGTGCAACGCTCCACCTCCTGCATGTTGAGATAGGGCTGTACAAAACTCTGAGCAGAGCGTACCAGTACTGCTATGCCAAGTGCTCTCTGGAGAGACCCGGCTTGATTACGTAAACATACATGCCATGTGAGGCCAAGAGGGAACAGAGAGAAAAAAAAACTTTGAGGAAATCCCCCTAACCTAAAGCTCCTTTAAAACAGATTCTATGACAGACCATTAAACAGAGCAGTCTTAATGCCTCAGAAAGTAAAAAATAAGGGGCAACATCCACGGACAGCTGGATGAAAGAGACAGTAGTCAAACTCACCATTCTACACGCGCTTCAATTACAAGCTTTTTAAGACACGGTTGTTTGAGTGCTCTGCAGGCACACATGGCCCAGGCCCACAAGTGGGAATCCCAGGTGCCATCACAATTCAGAGCAGTGACAACTATAACAGTGTCTCGGATGCTGCAGAACTCAGTGCTTTCCACGCTGCTGACCCACAGCACGTGCTATGTTGACACTGTGTCAGAAAACCCACACGCTCTGCCATTCTCTTACAGAGTAACTTAAAGCTGTGCTTGGCCACCGGTCCAGGCTCGTGTTTTGTTTTATTAGCTAAGACTATAAGCAGCAAGGAAAGCAAATATTCCCGAGCCGTTGGTTGTCTGAAAGCTTCGTCAGCTACCTGCGTTATTGAACGCCGTGCAGCAATGGACTGGAGTCAGCAAACAGCTCTAAAGCGGGTCCGTGAAGATGGTAAGGCACTCATGAGATTAGCTTCAGAAGCGCCCCTTGCAGTCAGACCAGGGATTGGACCACAGCCTACAGCCTCCTGATCCAACTTGCTCAGGCTGTCTCACCTTTCATTCAAACTGAACCAGGGAAAACAGGTCTGCTTTAACATCCCCAGTATAGTTTAGAGCAGGGGCCATGGTTGAAGACCCACAGGTGTCTCTGCATGCTCTCATGTTGCTTAGCCTCCAGAAGCCATTGCTATTACTTTAGGGGAAGATATCACCTAGTATGGATACAATCCAACCAGTATTAAACTGCTCCTCCTGATATAATCTATTTACAATAAGAACAAGAGACATGCTAGACCACTCTAATTGCATCCACATTGCAGTTTGTACAAATACAATTATTTCACCTTGAACAAGTCCCCAGTATCAAGACTAATTGACAGAGTTTAAGCCCCAGGCCTTAGGGCTTTTGCCAACTCCATGTAGCGACATTCAGTCAGGGAAATTCCTAATGCCAACATTGAAGCTATATACTTTGTGGGACAACCTAATCCCTCCTTCCCCAAAGCTGCAGGCTATGAACTGCTGTGCCATTGCTTCCAGCACCCTTAAATGCATTATCAAGCCTAAATCTCACTTAATGGGTTTAATGAATGTTTACTTTAATTAGTATACATACAGCTCTGAAGAGGAAATGAGTAGCTTTCATTTTTCCTCCTTAATTAATATTTGCTTCTCTGTAGCCTTATCATACTTAGTTCTGTAATTTGGCTATATCCCAGCTCCAGGAAGGGAATCAAAACTATAACTGCCCAGTTAAGGAGAACTTCTAAAACATACATTTATTGATCAGATGAAATTAGAAACTCACCAGCTAATGGAGTACTTGGAATAGGGCAGCATATTAAAAAATTCTAATGCTATAGGGTACCTTGTACCAGGGAACAAGAAGAGCAGAGCCACTCTGCAAGGGAAAATGAGCTAAGGGTGACCCCAGCACCAGGGGAAAACCATATGCAGGAGGACTCCAGTCCTATAGCTCCCAAGCAGACTTCAGGGCCATAATAGCCTTCATTAGCCACCATCATTTGACAAAACAAAGCAACAAAGCAGGTCCACAACCCACCCAGAAAGTCCAGTCAGCAGCATGCAAAACAATTCACAACCCAGGACCAGAGCTGATCCAGGGAAATAAGAAGACAGAACCAGAGACAGAACTACCTACAACATACCTCAAATGAAGAGCAAGCTGCCTGGGCCTGAGCTCTTGGGCCACGGGCAGAGGGTGCAGGGTGGGGGCCCAGGTGAGAGCAGTTGGGACAATTAAGGCCTGTGGGTGCACTCAGGACCCTGACACGTGAAACACAGCTGATAAATCCCTTCTTAGTAAGAGCCTCTCTGCAAACTTGTCTTGATATAATGATACTGGCTCTAATCAATAGTATATATTTGTAGTGCAAAGTCATACCGCTAGAGAAATATTGCTCTTTTTTGACTCGGTGGTCAATTCTATTGATGAGAGCAGTATCAATCTGGGCTATGCATAGTATTGCACCAAAGAAGCACGAGCCTACAGATTTCACTCTGTTTAGTTACTTCCATGTATGTCTATTTATAGATTGGCCATTAGTGACATTAACAGTAGCAGAAGATGCTGGCTCCTAGCTGCAGGAGATGTAGCCATCACTGGAATTACTGAGTATGGCTTGCAAGGGCAAACAGGAGCATATAAGAAACAGACACTTTTAATTTGCAAATAGGTAAAATACAGACATGAGCGCTGCAGTCTTCTTTCTGCACTGCTTTGTTCATCTGCAGAACTCCAACCCTAGGCAAATTACTAGCCAGATGATAGTATGCTTGAGCATAGCTGCCTTTCCTTGAGGGTGGCAAAGAAAGATGATAGTTTGTGCTGGTCATACAGGCAGTTTTTGTGGGTTGTTACTACGCACTTAAAAGAAGTCCTTGGATTCCAGAAGATAGAGATATAGATAGATAGATATAGAGAGAGAGAAAGTGACAGAGAAATAGAATGGTGGCTCTAATGCTTTTTAGCTGCTGGGAATCTCAATAGAAAAATTTGTAGTAGATGTGTGTGCATGCATGTGCATATACGCATAACACAATGGATGGTTAAGGGAACATCTTTATAAAGAGAAAAGTAACAGGATGAGGACATTTAGTTGTTATGCATTGAGTACAGAAAAAATGGCCATTACCTTGTAAAGGATCTTGTGACTTTTTTCTGCCTGCCTCTTTTCATGCAAAACTGAGGTTGTCAAATGCCTGCCTCTGCGAGCTTGGCTGTAGCCAGCGAAATTTCCCACCCGGAGGTATTGTGCAGGTACACAACGCTGGAGAACTCTGCAACCTAAGTGCTGGGGTGGGGGGCGAAGGGAAACTAGGAAAGCTTGTTACAACCTGCTGTAACTTGTTATATGTTACCTCCCCTGCCTTACGCACCCACTGTAGGACAGAATAGCAAAGAAAGATTTTAGTGAGGTTGATAAATCTAGTGGGGATGGACCCCACTCGCCTCCAGGACGGAGTTGCCTCCTGATAGTTAGATATAACCAGAGATAAAGCTAAGCAGGCTCTTTTCTACCTTGTTGCCACTTCCAGAAAAATCCAGAAGAGGTCAGTCTTCCCTAGCTTTTAGGTTATTCAACGTGCAACATTTCCAAACTTGTGCTCTTATTTAGAAAATGCTGAGCTGCCTGGAAAGTTTGATCAAGAAGGATGCAGCCATATTAATGTTTCCCTGTTTCTTCTCCTGGGGATCTGAATGCATTCTGTTAGTAGTATAAGGGAACCAGGAATCAGACAGATAATATAGAAGCAAACAGCTCTGCTGACTATGTCCTCAGGCCTCAAATATTTTAAAACCAGTCTCACAAGATTTTAGGAACTAAATTGTGGCGTTTAGTACTAGTCGGTACAGTACTAGTCGGACTGAGTTTCTCTGTGCAGTGGTACAACTCCAAAAAGCACACCAGAGATGCACCAGGCTTAGATGAGAGGAGGACTTGACCACGTCTCTGCTGGCAATCACTGATTAGCTTTTTCACGTAAACCTTTCAAGCTCAGGTCTCTCTGATCCCGATGAAGGTCACTGGGATTGCAGCAATGCAGCTGCACCTCATGTTTTCTAGAATAAAGAATGGCATCAGCATCTGCAACTGAGGATCTGCTTCTGCTATACTTTTGTTCCCCCAAACAGTCACCAGCAGAGTCTGTGGGGGCTTGCGGCAAGAACCTCAGGGCCCCATAGCTGCACATGGATCTGATACCGACTTGCATTATACCTTAGCACTTCCAGGTGCATTAAAAAAAAGTAGTTCTCAGTGCCTAGTTAGGATGTTCAGCAGTGCATCTGCAAGCTCTCTGCATGGCAGTAGGTTTTATCTTTCTTAGCTGGAAATGAGTCATTTCCCTGTACTGTACAGAGATGCCCAATTTTCTTGGAAATTGTTCAGTTCTGCAGAGTCTCCAGACATCACTGACTGCAGGTCTCTGCTATTTTACCTCAATCTTAATAAATGGCTGAGGATGTTTCATAGGTTAGACCATTTAAAAAAAAAAAAAAAAGCAAGCAAGCAAACTGGACAGAACCCACGCTTTCTCCAGTTCCTACTCTATCTGCAGGGCAAGTGAACCTTCTGTATTCGCCATGGGCAACACATCGTCTAGCCACAAATAAAAACTGAACAAGGTTTAATGAAGATTAAATGCCTGTTAAATAAAAAGAGGACAGTTTTACTGCTTTTCACGTTTGTGACTGCTTGACATGATTGCCGCTTCAGCCATGTGGACCAAGAGCGTCTTGTAAATGAGACATGAAAATCATGTAAAGATTGGAGCAAGTTTGCAGCACTCTACAAACTTTGCGTGAATGATGGCGGTCCAGGAGGCCTTTGAGGTCCACACAGCCAGCTTGTAGGGCCTTACTTAGGAGAACCGCTGAGAATAAGGATGATGGAAGAGGTGTAGAGTTAACCGTTCTGGAGAGGCACAGTGGCTCAGCAGAAAAGCAACTGTACAGCGATGCTTACATCAGTAAAGCAGTTTTAGATCCGTGTCTAAAACATATGCTAAATTTTATCATCAACAATTGTATTTGCTTATACTGGGAGCCACTTTCACAATAACATGTATCTTAAAAATCTCCAAATGTTGGCAAAAGCAATTAGGTCCATTTACAACACGCTGATCCTGTCTTCTTGGCACTGTTGGAAGCCTGTGCCCAAAAGCTAGCCCATTCAAGCAAGGTAGCGATGAAGGAAAAAGAACAGTACAAAGCTTGTAATTTCTTTCGCTTGCGCATTGCTTCCCAACATATTCTCCAGGGTGTTTTAGCTACTCAGTTGTTTTCATTAAAGTTCTCTTTCTGAAAACAAAATCCAGGGTAAACATTTTTGCCAGCCCACAATAGCCAGGGCCTGCCTGGCCTATGCACATGGGACTGGGGCTTGTCAGCACGATGGCTGTAGTTATTACCATAATACAGGAAATAATAGTCATTAGGCAAATGCGAACGCACTCTGGTTTCCTCTTTTGCCCCTCCTTCTGCCCCAGGCAGAGATGAGGAATGAGAGCGTGAGAGCGCTGCTTTCACAGAGGCGTCCCTCTCCGGCCGCAGACTCCGCAGGCTTTTGTGTTCCAGGTCGCAGGTCTAGGAAAAACCAATTCTTGCTGGTTTAACGTTCCCCTTTGCCATTCAAAACCCCGGCTCTGGCTCTCCCAGGTAACGCGTGTGGAAAGCAGGGATGGCTGCTGCAGGCACCGTCGGCTGGCAAATTTAAAGCTCTCCCGAGTCCTGAGAACTAGAAAATGGCTGAGAAGAACCCAAAGTGCGTTTTAAGAAAAATTTCACATGATGCAAGCTCAACTCACCGTTCTTTGATGTCGGGCTCGCAGGTTTGGGGTTCTTCGGACCAGCCACCTCGCTGCTGGTGAACATCTCACTGCAAGCTTGCAAACTAGACAGGTCCTGGAGAGGGGAGGAGGAAGAAGACAGAATTTAACAGAAAACCCAAGGCTCGGTCCCAGAGTCCATACGCTAAAGCCAGCGAGCGCTTTGGGTGCGTGGAGAGCGTTGTTCTCCGCGCCACGTCCTGAAAGGTACTGAGCACCCACGGATCAGCACCGGGGAGGCCTCTACAAAACCCCCAAATTACTTTGAAACAGGAAACTAAATAAACATCTGATTTTGGCAAATCCACTTAGAAAGAGCGTTGAGCCAGGCTGCACGAAATCAACCGCTAGATTTAAAACACTCAGCGAGTTCTGAGATGTTGGGGTACGGCCGAGTCCCTTTGTTCGAGCACCTCTTTGTTCCCCGACCAGGCACAGTTTGGGGGCGGGGAGTTATTTTCTTCAGTGTGTAGTTTCTTGTGCCTTTTTTTTTTTTTTTTTTAATTTGAGATTCTCAACCAGGTGCAAGCCGGGCCTGCGTGAAGACAAAGCCTTGGAGCTTCACTTCCAAGCTGTCAGAGCGGACAGTTTTTTATTGTTACGTGACACGAAAACGCCGAGGCCTTAAGTGTCCCCTGGAGAAAAACAAAACGCGCACAAACGGCTGTAACGGCCGCTCGTCACGGCGGGGAGAGCGCGCGCGCGCGGGCTGCGACCCCCTGACAGGATCCCTACGCG